CTTTCTTCCGGAATTATGTCCTTGTTTCGTTCGACTGTTCCGTTAGCGCTCTGGCTTCCGACTTCCTCCAGAATTTTTTCCCAATCTACCCTAGGAAGTTTCTTCCGTCTTCTGCAGGAAGCGAGGGGGGCGACACATCTAAATCTCAAGTTTAGATGCTCAACAAATCTCACACTAGCGAATCAATCTTCGAAAAATCTTCTTTCATTTGTCGCTTCTACTTGCTTCGCTCATCATCTTTTTGCAGGAAATCTTCAGAATCGTCATCAATCTTCTTTCTATCTACTCAGCGTGTGCCCAGCTAACCACAGCAAAACACAATATGTTTTGCATCGTAGATAGAGTCGCCCCCCTCGGCAGGAAGTTCAATTAAACTTCTCCCAGAAATTTCTTTCGTCTAGTTCTGGAATTTTGCACAGTTGGTTTTTTTTTACTTCTATTGGAAGGTTTTTCCGAGCTCCTTCTGGCTTCCCCTGGAAATGGCTACTTCTGCAATTTATTTCCAATTTTCAAAACTTTTCTGCCTTCTTTTGAATGTGAAATCCGATTTTTTTTCTGACTGTTACTTTAAATTTTCGCTAGAAGTTTCTCAATTTATGTCTTGGAAGTTTCGTGGATGATTTTCCGACTTCTCTCAGATCTTTCCTCAGATTTCCTCCAGGGGAGCTTCTTTCTTCTGTCTCTGGATGTTGTCAACTTCCTTCAGAAGCTAATTCAAACATTCCCCGGAGTTTTCTTCCGAAAGTTTCCGATCATAGTCCAAAAGATAAAAAATTCCGCTTTCAAAATCGACAAAAATTTAAAATTAATTAAAATAGTAAATATCGATCAGTACCGATTTTTTAAAACCTTTTATACCGATAAGCTTTAAAACATTCTGGCAACGCTGCTTCAAACGTTGCTTTATTAATAAATATTGGAAACGCAAATAGTGACGTCATTGTAATACAGCTAATAACAAGGGAGCGATGCTGATGTTGACGTTAAGTTCTTGAAATAGACCACGTGTGGTGAGTGCAATTTTTTTTGGTAAATACAATAAAGGGTGTAACACATCAAATTGCATCCCGAAAAAAAAAAACGCTGTAGAAAATTACCCATTGGGTATTTTCTCTTGAAATTTTGGATAGAAGTACTTAAGAGTATATTGTTTACACTGTATTTTTATCGCTGTCAGTTGTTCGAAAGTTTGAAACAAAGGTGTCACCCGAAAAGCAAGGTTGCGAATTGATTTTGCGCAAGCACCTGGAAAATCCTCAACTCTCTCGTCGGGATATTGGAATACAACTCGGAATCGTGCAGTCAACGGTGAGTTGTGTGATTAAACGTTACTACGAATCTCTGAGCATCGAACGGGAGGAGAAATGCAGTCAGAATGGATGTTCAGAGAGGCAAGGATCGGAAGGGACTGCATACGTATGAAGTGCAGAAGGCTTCAAATTGTGACGAACGGCAAAATACGGTGGTAAAGTCACGAGCCCGAAAACTGTACACCCAGATGCTGACGAAGCCTCATTGTCTCATCATGGATCATAAGACTTACGTCAAGGCGGACTTCCCGCAGCTTCCGGAGCTACTGTTCTTCACCGCCCAGCACAAGTTTGATTTTTCGGAGTAAGTAAAGAAGCCTAAAGTTCGTTACTACCGGGACTGTAAACGAGAAGATCTACCTCAAGGAGTGTCTACAGAAGCGTCTGCTTCCTCTGTTGAAGCAACACGAGGGCCCTACGATCTTCTGAACGGATCTAGCTTCGTGCCACTATTCAAATGTTGTTCTGGAGTGGTACGAAGCCAACGGGGTCACTTTCGTACCCAAGGACATGAACATGCCGATTTGGACAGATTTGGACCTTTTTCATACGACCGGAAGATGTATGCTGAAGGTGCAAGTGTTGTGAATTGAGCGAATAAGCACGAGGAGGATTGATTATAGCAAGCATAGCATTTCGGCAGCTGGACCTCCGGGACAGTGTGAGTGGCAATTTTATGCGGAAACGGCTTTCTATTGGAAGGGAACTGATTGGTGTGTGAGAATTTTGCGACTGGTGGTTGACGGACAGCGACGCAAGTACCCGGATCCTGCGTTAGAGGAATTGTACGAGGCAAGTGTAATTAGGATCATCAACGGTAGTGACGCCCACGCTTTGAGGATTCTATCGTCAAGGTGAGTGCGCAATAGGTGCTCAAGAATCGTACCCCATCGGTCAACAGAGTCCTCTAGGTGGCGGAGAATTTTTGTATGGCGTTTGAATTCATCCACTAGGCAGATTCCCTTTTCATGCGAGGGCAATCCAAAAGCGCTTGCAAGAGACCTTATTTAAGCAAGTAGTCGTTTGCCTAGCGTGAAGTCGGCGTCTGAAAAGCGATGGAATAATTGGAGATCGATTCGATTCATTGCAACGCTTCACCACAGACAAACAGACGTAACTCTTTGAAAAAGTTTTTCTTGAAAACATAGTATCTCAAAACATATGACCTCAGTAACGACATCTCTCGGGCTTCTCACGGAAAACAAGCTTGCTCACTAGCTCGCAAACAATATTGCATAAAAGTTCTATAGAATGTATAGAAACGTCAAAGTGATCAGATGCCAGCGCTGCGGCGAGTAGTTCGCGGAACTGATAATATTCAAATCAACCGTTAAATGCTTGAACGAAGATACACAATGAAGTGTTACGTCTGTTTGTCTGTGGCTTCACCTTCAACGGCGACACGGAGGTAATGAAGTCGCCATTTAACTCTGGCCAAGGTTGCAAAGACTCATTTCAGCTAAAACAATGTTTTTCTAAATTATGAAATAATTAGATGCCATGATCAAATTTTGAATTGGTAGGATACAAGAAGAGGTTGCAAAGAATGTGTTTGACATATTAAACCTGTTTATTTCACTTCATGAGAGTCACAATCAGCGATTTTTCACAAACTCACTCACTCACTCACTCACTCACTCAGCGATCAGCAAATCGCTGATTGTGACTCATAGAAAGCAACATTTACAGGTTTTATGTTTCCAACGCATACTTTGTAACCTCTTCTTGTAAGTTACAAGTAAAACATGCCATCATACCATCTTTTGGTTTTATTATTCCGAAAAACATTATTTTAGCTGAAATGAGTCTTTGCAACCTTGACTCTGGCAACAAAATGGTGGGAAGCTTGATGCCAGATAAATCCTGCAGCAGCAGGGATTGCGCTTTGAGTTGGAATAGGATTGGCAGGTAAGTAAGATCGCTGGGCAGCTATTACTTTGAGAGCCATTGGTGGCCTCTGCTTCTTCGATTTCCGACCGAACATCCTCCAGTTCCGTTTACACGTGGTCCACACATAGTCTCGATCGGCTTGGTTCTTCAAAACGAACTGCTCGGCTCTCCACAGTGATGCTGTTAAGGCTGTGCGTTGTTCGTCCATAGTGATGCGGTTCCCAAGTAACAATTTGGGTTTTATGAGGGTTCTGTAGACCGTGTTTTAGACTTGTAGAACGCTTTAAAACCTCGTTAAACCTTGCAATGTTAGAGTTGGTTGGAAATGCTAACATGAAGCTTTAGTGTGATGATTTATTAGCTAGAGAATGATCTTTAGAAGAATGTAGGTGGATAGTTCCGTTAGAGTACGGCAGTATGAAAATTGAATAGAAGTTGAAAATGAGCGAAGGGCCATTAAAGCGACAGTTTTCAAGATGACGCACATTTTTGCCTAGCCCGTACGATGTACGCGGGGACTTGAAGTATGTCTCCAAGTCCACAGGCAAAAATGTGCGTCCCTCTTGTTGCTCATAAACTGACCGCGGCTGTGGAATAGTTCTAGCGACGTTTTCATCACTACCTAAAGCCCCACGTCGCGAGAGCATTTCCAGTCGATGGTGTGTTATAATGCAGTTCTTCTTTACCCAACTATTGTGTTGCTCCTCTCGTCATGACCAACGTGATCATCTCAGAGAGAAAGCAGTAGGGTGGTTGTTGCGTGCTGTACCATCATCAGCATTGTTGACGGCTACTCCCGCCTTGAGTTGTTACATTCAAAGTGTTTTTTTTTTTTTTTTTTTGCAATGTTACTTGGGTTGGAACGCGATGTAGCAATATGGCGGTTCTTCGATTGCAGTAGGTCAGCCGGTGGCAGCGTGGGGAAAGTTCAATATTTCAGACGTTTAGATTACTTCTTACCTCGCACAACTTCAGGAAACTACGAAGAATTATTAACTGTTTAGGAGGAAAAATTCTTTTTCAAATTTTACAGAATTGCAGCAAATTTTATATCGTAGGGAAATTTTTTAAGTTTAGCAATTTTATTTAAGTTCACATAAATTTGTAGAGCTGCATCAAGCTTCGAAGAAATTAATCGGACTTTATTAAAATTAAGCGATATTCTGCATTATTTAGGTGTTGACCGTCAAACCGTCACCAAGTTCGCATTCAACCACTAATAGCACCACAGAAATACATTTTTCCGAAAGATGAACATCACCTAAATCGAAAATTGCAACTACACAGAATAATTGCAAACCTAATCGATTTTCTGCAAAGAATCAAATCACTTCCAAGCTTAGAGTTTCTACTTCGTTCCAGCCCAGATTTCCACCCGCAAAAAAGACGGCTTCTCACACTTGTTTCGAATTCAAATCGCTTCCATTTCACCACTCACAACAAGCAATCGACTCGGAATTTTCCCGGACCCACTCGTCACAAGAGCTTCCCCGCAGTGAAAATCGATCAATTATAGAACCACTGCCTGCTACGTCGTCACTTTTAATCAAAAGCCTCGAAGCTGGATTCCTCGGAAATGAGGCTACCCCGTGTGCGTCGACGTTCGCACGAAATTCCATCCCACGACGATGAAAAGCGGATGCTATTGCTTTTGCCCGTGCGAAGCATTATGTGAGTGTGTAGGTAGCTCGACGAAATGAGCCACCACCAGCCAAACACACCGACTTTGATGTCTGTGGGGGGGAAAATTTGAAACCAAATTGGAAAATCTCGCAATTCCGCTGTGCCATCATCAACGGATTAAGCATCCGCCACAGCGGGAAGAAACCGGCGATGGGTGGTGGTGGTGGGTGGTGAAAGTAGATTCGCCTTCGGATTCGCATTGGTGATGTGTTTCTGAAGAGGAACACGAACCAGAACGTCAAAGGAAATAAATCCTGAAACGAAAAGTGGAACATCCAACTCGACTGTCTAGTCAAGTTTTCCGGGACTTGAAATTGTACAGTTTAAGACAATGTTTTAGCTTATCTACTTCGTTCCGGTGGTTCGAGTGCGGTACTCGCCTTGACGTGGATGTGTGCAGTTGAATGGGTCGTGGTCTTCGTTGCTAGCCACTGGGCAATAAGATATAAAACCGAAATGGGTAGTTGTGTGTATGTGCAACGGAGTGCCGGTCGAGATGGATCACTTCATCCTTCTACGAAGAAGAAATTGGCAAAAAAGTACACTCGGAGTCCATCACAAAGAAATATGTTGTGTTTGTGGTTTGGACAGGGTAGCTCCGCTCTGTTTCTCCTAATTAAATTATACTGAATGGGTACTTGTTCGGGAAGAAATTTCTCAACTGATCAAAAGAGAAAGGGCGATGCGTTTCGTCTTTTGATTACTTCTGAAGCTAATACATTGCTGCAATTCCTTCCAAAGAAAACTCATCTCCTTAAAACATCCTAATCCACAAAAACACATCTGTAACGCAAAGTATACTTTGAAAACAATACCCATGATCTGCATGAAACAATTATCTAATAAATTAATCCCACATTGGTCGACCCGGACACAAGTTCTAATCCGCTTTGCAACCTTCCCGTGGACCGTTAACAAGGACGAATTTATCCCAGAGGGAGAATCCCGCTCTGAAACAATGACGAAGCTCCTCAACGGGAAAAAGGCATACGAAAGCTAATCCTTCATCTCGGCGAATGCTTTCTACAAATGATAACACGACGACAAAACTCTGGGCAGTGTAGAATTAGACAAACCAACCATGAAATTGCTCCTGCTGCTCAGAAGGTTTCATGCCACAGAAAAAGGACACGAATGGCCTGGAGATAAGCCCTCCCAGAACATGCTAAATATAATTTATTGTCTTCCACATTTTATCGGCTTTTTTGGCGGAGTAAAACTACTTTGAAACTACTGTCTAGTTGATTTAGGATCGCTTTCCTTTTGGGGGGGGGGAGTAGTCCTTATTTCGTCTCATTAGCACTTGCTTCTATGTATAGCAATGGCTTAAAAAGTGACACTTTTTGTGTGAGCAAGATAAGCAGAGGCTCGGATGATTTAGTCTCGCTGCCATTTCGAATAACCAGAATGAAATAGACTGTTGATTAGGTTTATTTGGCTGTAACATTGGAAATAAGCATATCATTTTCGGATAAACCAGGATGCTAGGTTTGTCTCAAATAAATGTGGATATTTTTGGAGATTTGCTAGGATTAGTTTTATTTAACATTAATGGAGGATTCTAAGTGAGGATGACACGTTTCAATATTACTGTGCAATTATCAATTATTGGATAATTATTGCTCCATGCATCTTGCATCATTTATGCTAATAGCGAGGTTTTAGTATCTGGTTTGACCATGAAGAGTGTTTGCAGAAAAGTATGGCGCTTGTTTGTGAACGGTTCGATTAACCGCGAAAATCCGTATCAAACGGAATCGAACCCGGTCAGAACCGGTGCGAAAGTGAAGTGCTACTAACGGTGCGGTGGAACGTTTTAAAATTCGCCAGGAAAGTGACTGATCCGGGACAAAAATCGAGATTGAATCCTTCCGGAGAGGTCACTTCACTTTGATGGTGTCTTTGCTGGCGTTTTCCTGTTGATGTTCCATTTTTGCGCGACCGTCGTTGGCGGCTAGTCGGGTCGATTCGGGATGACATCAACATCAATATCATCCATAGGAGTGTTTTCTCTTCTATTTTCAGAAGGATTCACCTGTTCTCAATGTAGCAGCAAGGGCGGATAAAGTCTAGACACGGTCTGGACATACGAGATACTTTCGGGTCATAGAGACCAATATCTGCAAATTCTCGTGCTAGGTTATTGGCTATTGTGTCTCGAACTATAGGTCGGGTTGGCTGGCTGCTAAGGAGCTGTCGAACATAGGTTTGAACATAAGTTTCGATCTCGGAAATGTGGACATATTCCATAGTATCCGGTTGATTTTGTGTTCTACTTTCAGGTGAAACGTTTCTCGACTCTTGGATGTTCAAATTCGCCTGACCTTGGATATTCACACGAGGTACTCTTTCATCTCTGCGATAATGGTCCGACCTTTCCGGCACCTTTGACGGTTGGTCTACATGAGCAAAAGACGAATGCACTGACGGTTGAGGTCGCTCTGGTCGAAGTGACATCGGTTCGTGTGCTAGACTTTGATCGAAGGAAGGCAACATCGATGTAGTAAACAGATTCAACGGATTCTCAACTCTCAGTCCAGTCACTGGTGTAGGATTTGGGACGTCCCGGAATGGCCACCGTGTGCCTCCAGCTGAAAATCTACCACGCATGGCTTGCTCCAGTTCTTCTCGCAAGTTGTTCGGCACTGGTGGCCGGCTGTATATCGACTGGCGGGTCCTAGGCAAGGGTGTATTCGATAGCGCATCCTGCAACACCTGTTTTGCCCAAGTAAGCGTTGTTCGTGGATGGGATCTGCATCGTCATCACCACCTACTGCACCCTCGCTGAATTGTTCCTGCTCTTGTTCTGACATCTAAAGTCCTATTCAGATCTGAGGATTGCTAGACCGGAATCCCTGGAGGAGGGTTCACAAAGGGGATCGTGAACTCCAGCCTCGTCAAATCAAGCTGCAGGAAACGGGTTGCCAGTCGACATACGAAGTCGATCAGACACTGTCTCGTTTGTAGTTCCTTTGCGGTAACTGCTTGACATCTGCGAAGTCGTCGGTAATAATGCACCAGACGGGAGCGGCCTCCTACCGTCCATCCTGTTCGCGCGTTCCAATTGTTTGCGATGAAGCGCACTCGTTACTTCCCTTTGCACGGAAGCAATATCTCAAAACTCGACGGTTATCGGCGTCTCTCCTGACAGGCAGATCTCGAAGAATCAGTTCGTATTGAACTTCTTCCTCATCTAGTGCATCAGCATTTATGAAGAAGTTTTCCATTTCACTTGTAAATTTATTCAAGTATATCAAAATAAATCACTAATCACTATGTAAACTATTTGGAACTGAAACAACTAACTTAGCACTAACGATTTCAATTCAATAAAATATCTGAAAAAAGAGACGAAAACAGCGGTTGACAGCAAACAACTAAGAGCAAGATAATGCAAAATATTACTTATTCTAATTTCCATAAATCCAACTGATGAAACATGTGATGGGGCCTCCCTTAGCTCAGTCGGTAAACGCGCAGCTACAAAGCAAGACCATGCTGGAGGTGGCTGGGTTCAATTCCCGGTCCGGTCTAGGAATTTTTCGGGTTGGAAAATTTCTCGACTTCCCTGGGCATAGACGTATGATTGGACTTGCCACACAATTATACCAATGCAAAAATGGTACAGGCATCGAAAGCTCTCAATAAATAACTGTGGAAGTGCATCTAGAACACTAGGTTGAGAGCACGCAATAAGCTAATATGCGATATGCAATAAGCTTTTTTTTTTCCTCTTGTTTGTTTTTTCCGTCGATCTTGTTTTCCGTGCTGAGCACCAATGCTACCGACGTGCCAGGAAGGCAGCTCCCACACCTGGACCCTACCTATCGACCCATCAACTCATGAACCGGGGACCAACGGCTTTACTTCCCATCCAAAGGAAGGCGTGATCAGAGATGTTATGCCTCAGAACATCCCGGCGGCGCCGACTGGGATTGAACCCAGGCCTGCTGGGGTGAGAGGCCGCAATAAGCTTGAAATGCAAAGAAGAACTGATGAATAGCGATAAAAACGTCGCTAGAACTATTCCACAGCCGCAGTCAGTTTATGAGCAACAAGAGGGACGCACATTTTTGCCTGTGGACTTGGAGACATACTTCAAGTCCCCGCGTACATCGTACGGGCTAGGCAAAAATGTGCGTCTATCTTGAAAACTGTCGCTTTAATGGCCCTTCGCTCATTTTCAACTTCTATTCAATTTTCATACTGCCGTACTCTAACGGAACTATCCACCTACCCTCTTCTAAAGATCATTCTCTAGCTAATAAATCATCACACTAAAGCTTCATGTTAGCATTTCCAACCAACGCTAAATACTTGATTTACCCTACGTAAGTAGCTCATTCTACATCGTTTGCGTGCTAAACTAAATTAATAATTGAATCCCTAAATCCTAAATCTAGCCAAATCTTTGTTTAAAAAGTGACGGAAGATAACTCTCGGTTTGAAAAATCTCCCATTCAGTCTCCTATCGCTTTTCATGGAGGAATTTCTCTTCCTCCAGCGTTTTCTCCTTTGCGCTTTTCTTCTGCTGCTACTGGTCTAGGGATTTCTACAGGCTGACCTCATTGGTACTTCGTTTTCCAGATTCGGATCCGGCATCACTCCTCGCACTATTTATTCTTTCTGCTAGGTGGTTTCTTTGGGACAGACTTCTTGCTTCCTTTTGGCACCTTCAGCATATTTGTGCACTTTGAGCACATCTACGGAACCTCCTTTACAGCTGTTGTCTTACCACCACAACTATAATGGGTCCAGAAATCGTAGACATCACACTGGACCATATCATCTACGTGGTCATGACCTTCACAATGCGTACAGTTTCGATCGCTGTTTTGTTCTTCACTCAACGGTGGTGTTAATCCCTCTGACATTTTGAGGTTATATCCGATGTTGTTCTTCAAGAATGGTCGGATTTATGAAAGCAACATCCTCAGAGCAGTCTCGTTTTGGACAGATTGAAGCTGAAATAGGTTTTATTATAAGCATTAAGATTGATTTATTATACTAGTTTAATAAAACCTATTTCAGCTTCAAGCTGTCCAAAACGAGACTGCTCTGAGGAAGTCCCTTTCATTAATCCGAACATGGCTATATTTTTAAGGGCGCAAACTTGATTTTCTATGGATCATTTTCTTTAGTTTAAGGTTCACTGCTGAATGTGTTATCGATCAATTGCAATATGTTTATGGGTAATTCGTACAATTTCAATG